AATACATCATCATTTTTGCAGTGATAGATCCTAGGTAAAACTCAAGTTGAATTATCATTTCAGCAGCGTTGTTGCTGCGCATAGACAAAGATTTAAGCTCATCATTTTTATCTATAATTTTTTGTAAGCAAATCTAGATTTTTCGATGTACGTTTCAATTTTAGCTGGTCTATCATTCGCACTTATCTATTCCGTATTTTTGGCATGGTGTTCGAAACTATTCGTTTTCAACTCTTTCCTGGCAAGATAAATTTTGTTTAGCTTCTGACCGAGATCAAGCTCCGTTTTGAAATGTTTGTTTTTTGTTTTTAAGAGCAAAAAAAATTAAGTGTCGATTGACGGAATCAAACTAAAATCAATTCAAGTAGCCGCGCCCTATACCAAACGAGAGGATTCTCGCAAGACCCCTAAGATTCTCGTTGACTACGGAACAGAAGGACAACAAACTACAAGATTGAACTCAAAGATGAAGTTAACTAATAAAAAAAAAAACAAATCAAGATTCATAATGCCTAACAAATGTTAAACATTCTTCGATTGTTGTCATTTGAGACATCTTATGCTTATCTGCTTTTCTTTTCTTTGAACTTGGTCGAGGACTTTTAACTTAATAGATAAACTCAGACAGATTGGGGAAATAACGTCGAATCATTCTCAAATTTTTTATTTCTAAAAACGCCGGAGGATGAGTTAATTTAAGCTTACGAATTAATTCTTTGTCGTTAGCTTTTCTTTTTGAGATTAAATGTTTGGTCACATCAATGGTTAACATTCCTGTTTCAAGCAAACGTCCGTAAATATTGGGGGTATTTTGACGGTGTACGTAAATAATGGCTGATATTTTGTTTTTATATTCTTTTAAAATTTCAAATAGACTTTCTGGTGCAAGTGGGTTATCGTTGTTTGATCTATGCTTGCTCAAGGAATTATTTATAAAATCGTGTCAAATTAAAATGTTTTCTCTATCATACATTTTGAGGAATTGCTTAAAAGATATTGAACAGTCTTTTGTCGGTTATTTGCATGCAAATTAAAGCTTAAACCTGGAACTGCTTTAAAAGTGTGGTCGAGGCGTTTTTGTAGAGTTAATGGTAATGTATTTACGGAGTGATGGAGAGAACTCGCAGCAATGATGAACACCATTGAGAGTGATAAGCGATACGGTTGTTTTATTGGCAAACAATTTGAGGAGTCTGTTGTTGTGAAATAGACACATAAACCAAAAAAAATTATGACGATAATAACTTTATGAACCTTTAGGTGAGGGTTTGTAAGGTTCTACTAAGGCTTCAGTTCGGTACTATTTAAGTTAACGCGTACGGTTTATCGGTTAAACTTATCGACCTTACGGCGAAACGGTAGTAGTAACGGTCGCGGCGAGCCGAGCAAATTTTTAAAGATTATCTACCACTGGAGGAAGCCGAGGTAGGGATTCACTCGAAAAACTTGCCCGGCACGATTGACGGTTTAAACGATTGAACGAGCGAGAAGAAAACGGTGTTTTCGGGCTTTGCTCCAAATTCGGGCAAAAAGAAAAAAAAAATTGTCAGTGAAATTTGTAGGAAAAGTTGATATAAATTTTTTTTTCGATAATTTTTTTTTTGAAAACAATTTTGCGAAAAACTTTCTGGAATTTTTTTTATCACTAAATTTTTTGGGTTCGAGACTCTCCTGGGGTACTGGGTATGAACTAGGATTAGGTATTTAGTACGGTCTTAATCGGTTTGCACTTAATTGAGAAACGGACCAAAAAAAGGTTCGGTCTTACAAATTTTTTGCAGGGACGAAAAACTCATCGGATTGTAGACCAAAAACCACAAAACTTCGGGTGTTGAGAAAATGGTATCGGCTGAAGATATTGGCCTTTGGGTTATCGGCCTTCTGGGAATGAATCTTTTCGAACTCAGTGGGTGCCACTAGCATCGTGTTTTGTTTCTGCAGTGTGCGCAATCGGCCAATGTTTGACAACCTGTCGCCTTTACCCCAAACCCTTTGTGAAAACCATCAGCCCACATGCCATATTAAGTACATAAGGATAAATTTCGATCCTTGTGACATATCAATTATGGCAAAAAGCTTCCTTCAACCAATTTGGAACGATTTCTAAGACGGATTAAACCTACGTTTACGCATTAATAGCGCGAAATATATCGCGCGTTAATTGTCCCAGTTGGCCAGAATGACAATCTTTAACAATTATAACTTCATGAAAAATGATCACAGACGAAACATCTTTTCAAATTTAAGCTCAGGACAACAATACCTTTTGAATTATTCAAAAAATTTCTGTCAAAAGTGGCTAGTTGAAAAGCCGAAATTTGTCTGAAGAAAAAAAAATCCCTTCCCAAATTTTTCCAAGCATAAGCACAGAAGCGAAGTTGCAGTCCGCATATACACGCAAAAATAAGACCCATAACGCTACTGGGAAAAACTGAATGGGTAAATATTTGAGTTCACTTGATGTTTTGAATCATGCACGTGTATTATTAGTCTCCATAATTGCTAAATGACGCGAGCCAATTAAGACGCATTAGTATTACCAGTCAGTTTTTAAAAAAAAATTACCACTACCATGTCTCAATTTAAAGGAATGGACGCATTTTAACTAGTACTCGAAAAAGTTCATAACAGCATCCGAACCTGTCTAAGTTCGAACCATCTTACTTTGTTGCGGGTCTCCTTCCCTAAATCTACGCTGCAGATCCCTGATACGTTAAAGCTTAAGTTCTATTTGTAATATAATAGCCTTGGTTAATATCGTCAGCATTGGCTGTACTTAATAGCTGGTTATTTATATTATGCACATACTGCAATAAAAAAACATTTTCAAAACGAACATTAATATTTGCGACTGAGGTTGGCAAAAAAAGAGAGTTCAACTATCACACTTGTGTAATCAGCTTTGCTTGTGTAAAAAAGTAATCCCTACCTGATTAATTAAAAACTATTAAGTAAAACAAAAAAACTCAGCTAGCTGGTGTGCAAGTAGCTCAAAATGTGCCGATTACAGCCCTCTATTTTTTTTTAATTAATTAAAACTGAAAAAACATTCGAATTTACCTAAAATTGTCTATAAAACAAAAATTCAGACTGAAGCTGATGGAACTTTTCTGACATGTATTGTTTTACTTGGTTTTAGTAGTTTAACTTCGGTTCTGCCATTTAAAAATTAATGGAAAAAAAACTTCAGCTTCAGGGTGTAGCCAGAAAGATGACGAGTCCTCCAGTTTTCATGATTATAAAAGTTTCAATCTACCAGGAGCCCCGGCAAACAGAACAATATAGCATTATTGGAAAAATCTCTTACATGTAGATATTGTTAAACAGAATGCAAACAGAATGCAGATATTGTTAAACAGAATGCAAACAGAATGTTAAGCAGAACGCAAACAGGTGCACATCGGGGATCCACATTAAAAGGGTACATCAATCTCAGAGAAACACAAACAACTTCAGCTGCATAAACTGCCGCACACATTTACAACAGAACCAACAATGAAAAATCACACGAACGCTGGCATAGGAGAAATAATTGAAACAACCAAGTTATGTGAATACTGCACGCCATAGAAAGAGCTTCTCTGACTTTTCATATTCCGCAAAAACCTCTCAAAGCAAACATATCCATTGCACGAACCGCGAGAAACCCTCGGCAGCTACCAACATAAGGCGCCATAGCCGAACCTGCAGGGGAGCACGCGAGAAGAAAACTGCAGGAGCACGTGAAAACTGCGGAAGAAAAAAATAACAGCTTCATCAAAAAATGATTCTTTGTGCACAACGTTTTTTCTCAATCCAGTTTTATCTGACAATTTTTAGTTAAAATTCACGTATCCATTAGCTGAAAACAGCTTAATAGCTGAAAATAACTTAATAGCTGAAAACAGCCTACCAAACACAGTTGATCCAACAAAAAAAGTAGTCGGCACAAAAAAACAACACTAGTATTAAAAACAAACAAGACTGCTCGTATCAGGGCGAAGCTTTGAAGGTTCTGACTGCCTCTTAAGGTTTATGGAGCAGTAATAACATCAAAAAGTTAAATGTAATAAAAAAATGAAAAAGAAAATTCTAAAATTTGAAACTTTTTATGAAAATCATCCCCCCACACGCCATATAAATTACAACAGGATAGATTTCGCTCCTTGTAACAAATCAATTATGACAAATAAGTTTCTTTCAACCAGTTTGGAACGATTTCTAAGACGGATTAAATCTCCGCTTACGCATTAATAGCGCGAAATACATCGCGCGTTAATTGTCCCAAATTGGCCACAATGTCAATCTTTAAAACTCCATAACTTTACGAAAAATGATCACAGGTAAAATATCTTTTCAAATTTAAGCTCAGGACAACTATAGCGTTCGAACAAAATAAAAAATTCCGTCAAAAATGGCTAGTTAAAAAGTCGAAATTTGTCTGAAGAAAAAAAAACCCACCCCGAGCACAAATATTCCGTTACTTTCGTATCGAAAGTCGGAACAATAAATATAAAAAACGCTTTCATCGATTCTTTTTAAGAATACGGTTGGAAAATTCTGTTTGACTTGCAAAGCAGCCGGCTATCCTTGTTTCTATTTTAGCAGCTAGTTCAATAATATGATCTGAATGTCTACAAAACAAATTTGAAATACCGAACAGTTTTAGCCCTGACACGCTATGCTTCCATAATTGTGCTGAAATGCTTTCAAAATATTTGATGATTTTATTTGATTTTCATTCACCTAAATGTTGACTACAAGAGCTCATTTTTAGGTTTATCTAGCAAACACAGTTGATCCAACAAAAAAAGTTTGTCTGCCACTGTCTTGCGGCAGTCACGGTAGCACTATTTCAACTATTTGAAGCGATGACAGTGAAACGAAAAATTAGCATGAAACAACAGCAGTTAAGACCTTACATATCGAACTTTTCATGACGAATTTTATTGATTTAATTAGCCTGTTTAGCTTCGATGTTTTAAACTCTTTTCACACGGGAAAGCAGAGCTTTGAAAAACTTCCAATTGGTCAAAATCAACTCTACCGTTCCATATTAAGCCTTACAGCATCTCACACACACTATATGAAAACATCTCCTCAATGGCTAATTCAAAAAGCACTTAAAAACAAATCAATCAAAAGTAAAACAAGATTAAGTCTCTGAGTCTGTGGGCTCATTACAAAAATACGAAGCAAGCTACACAAAGTTTCTCTTCTTTCACTGAACTCATCACTATTTGTAGCAATGCTCCATGTTTTTTTTGTAGCATCAAGTTAGTACTCCTGGCTTCCAACCGCAGCAGCTTTGGCACTCTTGCTTTGGGACTTCTTCGGTAGTAGTACCGCCTGGATGTTGGGAAGGACTCCACCTTGAGCAATGGTCACTCCCTAAACATGAGCCGCGTTGACTTAAATCTGGCCCTGCATGTCATATGGCATCAATCACCGCCAATTTTGTATTCAAATAATTTTTCCAAATAAACCTGTCAAAGATGATGGCTTGCTTTTTTTTTTAAGATCATTTATCCACGAGGGATAGGACCAACATACGAGCTGTACAGCTCATCACGGCGAACCGCTGTTGTGCCCCTGCTTAAGAACTACATGCAATTTTTTTGCTTTCTTTATTGGTCCAGCTTTGCTATGTAATTATTTAATAGAAACCTCAGAAAAATTACTAAAAAGTTATCAGAAGGAGACACCTTCAATAAATTTTTTAACATTTCATTCAAAAACGATCCAACTGTTAAGCGTTCAATTACATGAAGCAATTTGTTAAGTTCCTCGTCATTCCGGATTGCCAGCTGCAGATGTCTCGGGATTATTCGGCTCTTCTTATTATCCTTAGCCGCATTTCCAGCCAGTTCCAGAATCTCTGCAGTCAGGTATTCCAACACTGCCGCCAGATACACAGGGGCACCGGCTCCCACTCGCTGACTGTAGTTTCCTTTCTTCAGAAGTCGGGTGATTCTTCCCACTGGGAACTGGAGTCCGGCTCGCGAGGACCTGGTCTTCTTCTTTCCACCCAGCTTACCCCCCTTCGCTCCTCCCACAACTGCGCTCTTTCCTTTTCCGGGCATACTTGATACGCTTGTTGGTATTTTGAAATTTAAAAAGGATTGGCGTTAAAAAGCAACAAATCTGAAAAAAAACGTCTTTGGTTTAGACGACCTAATTTGGTAGGTAAAATTCGCATTGAATCTTGAAATCTGTCCGTCTATATATTTATCCAAGAAAAAGTCAGCGCATCAAAATTGTATTAAACTAAAATGTAGAAAACTAAATTTACAGAAAAATGAAAATAGATATGTTTCTGGACAAATTAGACAATTAAATTACAATACTAGTTGAATCAGGGTAAAAATATAAATTCTGAGAGTTAGCGACTGAGCAGCACGAGTGTTTAGAATGAACTGAACTGAGCTAGTGATATAGAAGATGCCTCTCTGAGGAGTGACAGTGAGGAGAGCTAACAATTTGAGAGACTCTTTAGGAGACGCATTTGTCCCATTTAAATCCCCCACATGCTATTGTCAATATCAAATAGATGGCCAGCTAGAACAGAGATTAACGCCTTATTAGTCATATTATTATTATTACCAAATGGTACTAAATCATAATCATGGTGAGATCCTAACGCTGATAAGTGAACATAGTTTCCTATCTTGAGCCTAATTTTGTCTTAAAACCAATTAAAGTCGGCTCATTAGATATTATTTTCTATACCGCACAAAGTCTACGAAATATATTGTTTGTATGACTTTTTTAAAATCCATATCAACGCTATGTTAAGCAGCACTACGAAGACAAATCCAGTACATAAGCTCCCATATGATAACGATACCACATTTCGTATGCCACTCAAACGCTTGTTCCAAGAGCAAAAAAAATTCAGCGTAGTTGTCATCAAGAATTTTCGTCAGGGGGCCCAATTCGCGAGGGAAGGGAGGGGAGTGTAAGCCAACTTTCCTGCTCTAATTCTGCTTTTGCATATTTAGATGGATGGTAACCTTATACATGATACCTTTCCATAGGCAGCCATGTATCAAAATGGAGTTCATACATGCCAACCTGCTGTACTATACGCTTATAAACGGCTATCAATTGATCAACTATATAATTTACATATTTCATCTTTCTAACATACCAGCCCGACTACTATAGCGATGCAGGTGATTTTGAAATTCCTCCAGAACATCACGCGTCTCAGGTCACGAGACCTCGTGTGGAAATTGACAGACTAAACAAAAAATTGGCAACAAAAACAATGACAAAATAACAGTAGCTGGTTGCTGTGTAAGAAATACAGAAAATTTGCGCATATTCATAAAACACCAAAAACTTTTTTCTAAATTTGCACCAATTTTTGTGCTTGGTGTGATGAGAGGAGAAACGAAAGCGTAGAACTTCAATAAATTATTTAATAATCGAATGTAGTTGTTTTCATAAAAAAAAACAAAAAAAAAGCGAAAATTGTTTGATTTTTTTAAAATTCAACTTTCTTTTTATTGCCGAGATAGCGCTAAACTAAGCTTCAAAAAATCGTTTTTTTAGAGTATTTCACAACTTGAATAAAACTTTTCATATTAAGGCACCTACTCGCTCGCTTTACTCGTAATTTTCGAATTACGAGGCCTTTCATACGATATATATAACTTAACACATTCTGATGATTATTTGTGGCACCTGATTTCCGCAAAAAAATGAGCCTTATGATTTGTTCTGAGAAATTGCAACTTAGCAACACATCAAACGAAGAAAAAATATCGGGTCAACTGCAAATAAATTTGATTCAAGCAGTCACGTTTTCGCACCCCAGTAATTCAAATCAATTCATAGTTATTTAAGACCACTAGAAAAATCATTTAAATCACACGTCGTAATATGTGGAAACTCACTTCATTCATTAAGTTTTATACTAGTTCTAATTAAGACCACGAAAAAGCTCTGGATGGACTTACATCATAGCTGAGTTCCATTGATTTCTCCACCAGAAGCTCTAGGCTCTCACCCCGATCAGTGAGGGTCTCTAGAAACATCACAGCGAGATTAATTTAGATCTTACTTTTTGAATCTCTACTCATTCATGTTGTTTATTAATTGAAAAGTTTTTTAATCGAATACTAATTAGTGTAATTTTTAACCTATGTTCTGAATCATGACATTCTTGACCTCTTCCGTTTGCTGTTGAATCTGACGCATCTTCTCATCTACTTTCGTGTTTGGATCTGCGCTTGACGAAAACCGCTTCTAAACACAGAGTTCGTTAAGTTCTAGCAAATTCAGATTTTTTTAGAATTGCAGGGCTAACACTTTTATCTGAACATTTAACGTGCTGAAATACCGGGAAATTGAACAAAATTTTAGCAAAGGTTAATTTTTATGCCTAGGGGCAAGCACCAGCAAAGGCAAGAAAACAATCAACATGCAAAGCTTACCTCGCTATCATTAGATATTCTAAAAATACATTGCGACGTAAAATATTAATCAATAGACCAGTAAGTAATTGTTTCAAGTGCCTAAGATTCCCAGAAACTAGAAGTATTTAGTATATCTGTTACTGCACTAATCTTTTGAAAAGAGTCAACTTTTGCAGACAACAGCTACGGTCTTGTTTATCAGCTTATATGGATTGTCGAAACACAACAGTTAGGAACTTACCATTTGCGTCTGTAGCACTGCTCCGAACTCAGTGTTCATGCTGTAGGGCATGGCTGTCAGGCCTAGACTGCCGTAGTATTTGTAGAATCTAAAGGAGGCGATAATTACAGATCAAAATCCTGGCGTCAAGATAACTAAGCATGAATAGCAAAATTACAAATAGAACACAGAGGCGAAGCAGGGCTTCGCGCCACTTGCGATGCACAAACTGTAAGTCATGAAAAAAGTTATCAAAATCAGATTACAAAATTGTTGCAAAAAAATGTTGCAAAATTGTTTTTAAATTTATACGCGCAACCAAATCAGCCTACCTCCAACTCACTTTTTAACTCTACCTGCTATGCATCGAAGTCTTCTGAAGAGACGCGATCGAACCATTGGTAAACAATATTGATGAAAGAATCAAAAACCACAAACTCTGTTCTACTTTTTAAATCAGTAAATGAAACCCATACATACCGAAAAATATTATTCAATTTTTCAGAAGCCTAAACAAATTAGATAGAAACACACCAAATGTGATCTGAAAAAACTGAAAACAATTCTAATAAAACACAACACTAGTGACATTGAGAAAATTCGCAAAAACTTTCGAAAAACATTTCCAAAATAATTCAGAAACTTGAAACGAGTTCAGCAGAAAATAAATCAGAAAAAAAATATTGAAAAAAGTAACTAGAACTACAAACTTTTTACGTAAAATCAAATGACTTTGAAAAGCTATGAAGCCAAAAAAACGCGGATTTTTATTCCAAAAAAAAACAGAAAATCCGATCAGACAAGAACAACAAGTTGACAGAAACAACGGTTCACCAAAAAATCAACAAATATTGAAGAAAAAAGATATGCCATTGAACTATTCTTTAGAAAAATGCAGCCCGAAAACAGATCAAAATTATCTAAACGTGTGAAAAAAAATCTTTAATGAGCGAACAAAAAAGGATAAATTCGTCTAGCATTTCTGAAAGAAATTATCGAAAATTTTGAATTGAACAATTTCTAATTTGGTAGCACTTCAACTGTTCTGAAGGTGAAATGTCCAGAAGTTGGTTCCCGTTTTAACTGTCCTGACACAATGAAACTACGCAAAACTGGAGGAACAAAAAATAAGCAGACAGCAATTCAAACTGACTTTGCAAAACGATGAAATCGACTAGCAATTTAAATTATCAAAATTTTGAATTTAAATATTTCTGATTTGCTGGCAATTCAGGCTTGCTTGGTCCTCGTTTTTCAATTGAAACAGCTACTTGTCAAAACAATATGGTCTAAAAAGCAATGAGAACATATTTTCAATTGCTGTAGAAAAAATTAACAAAAAATATACACAAAAATATACAAAATTGCGAAAACACAAACTCAATAACTTACTCCAGAAAAAGTATGATAAAAACAGCTAATTGAAAAAACAACAGCATTTAAAGGTAAAGTCCAAAGTTATTGTTCAAATTTAAAAATTAACGCAAAAAAGTAGAAAACTTTAAAAAAAAACTGTCAAAAAAATCGAACATTTTTTTTTAATTTTAAAAACTTTCACTTTTAATAGGAAGGGTTTGGGATATTGATTTAGATTTGTCAAAAACATTTTGTAAGACTTCATTCATTTTTATAAAAACAAGCAAAAATTAATTGAAAAATGAACTCAATCGGAAAATGAGCCGACGGAATTAAAGCCGACTCTCAAGTGCCAAAAAAACTCCAAAATTTTTTTGGGCACAAAGAAAACTATAAAAGGAAATCGTAACAGGCACACAAAGCCAATACCTAAAATGCACATACGACATTTACCTCTGCAGTAAAATACGCGTGGACAAAGTTGTTAACGGGAAAAAATCTAGTACGCGGTTGCAATACCCTTATCGCAAGGGTAATTAAGATTGTTACTTTTGCAAAATAATATTTTATGAACTGTTCTTTTTGTTTCATTTTTAGATCACAATTTATCTTTGCATACTTTTTAGAGTCACGCCCCGATTTCTGTTAGAAAAATATGAGATTATAAAACTAATATGGGGAAAAAACTCACGTGTTTTTAATTTCTTCTAGAAAATGGAATGCCACAACTCGGGGGAAGTTCTAAACGTCACAGTCAAATTAGGTAGAATATTAAGCTTGCTTGCAAACACTTGACGACTAAAAGGCTTTATTATGCGACCTCATACAACCCAATCAGATTTTACGTCGTATATTTAAAATCTGGAAATAAAACTCATCGAAGTTCCTTATGAGTTGTCTGAACAGAAAACATAAGAGAAAAGAACACTAGGCTATATACATACCCCATCTGTGATACAGAAGAAAGTGAGGCCATTGTCCGATATGTAATGGAAGAAAAATCTGAAACAAAGTATAATTCAAAGCACAACCAATATTGTACTGTTCTGTACTCAAAACACGTTCCGTCTAGATTTTCAGAAAAATTAAAACTGCGGTTGTTGGAGCGGATCTAGGATTTTCTCGAGGGGGGGGGGGGGGGGGGGGGGGACCTTTTGTCGATCTTTTTTTTGATTTTCCGAGCGAATTGATTTTCCTTTGATCGACCAAATTGATTTTCCGAGCTCTCCCAAAGCACTAAAAAGACCCTGTTTTGGTCAAATCAAATTTTCTGCGCCGCAGGCACACTTTAGAAAAACAGGCCAAAAAACTTTTTAGAAAAATTTGACCAACAAAAATGCGTTTTTTAAGCGCGCTCCCCCCTCAGAGTAAGTATATATTGGCGCCAAAGGCGCCTTTAGAAAAATTTTAGGGTCCGTCACCAAATATGGATATCTCAAAATAGTACAAAGGGGGGATCATTTGGGTCGACAGGGAGTCGAATCCCTGAAGGGGAGGGGGGGGGGGAGGGGTGTCTGCCCCCTTTAAATCTGCCCCTGGGTAACCAGATTGAGGGGGAGAAGCGGTCGTGCTGATCCCCGGCAAATTAGCTACCGCATTTTCATCACCATGCTACTGGTTTTTTTGAAGACAAACATCATTCATATTTATTTTGTACTGCTAATCTAGCAAAACTCAGAGCAACTATCATCCATATTGAAAGAACTGCTGAGGCTCTTTGGAAGTCGGAAGAACTTTGTTCTGTCGACAAGTTCTGACGACAGTTGTTTTGTTTAATTAAATCAAACAGTTAAAGCATACACACTCTTTACCCCTAAGTATGACCTTGATTTGAACTAGAACAATGATTTCAAATTTATTACAAAGAGGCGAAGCTGAGCTTCGCACCACTTGCGATACAAAACAAGAGAGCCGCTAAGTCGAAAAAAAAATCGAAAATATCGAACAAACTGTAATTATCAAAATGAATAAGGCTAGTTTTGAAATGCTAGTTAGCTTTACTAGAATATGAAATAATATTTTGAAGAAAATTTACCAAGCGGTAACAAAGCTGAAAATACCCTAGCAGAATCCCTTTAAGCCAAAAAAACTCCACATGACTTAAGACTTAAACAAGGTTATGAAGTTCCCCTCACCCTCAAAACACTCACTCACTCACTCACTCTCTCTCTCTCTCTCTCTCTCTCTCTCTCTCTCTCTCTCTCACACACACACACACACACACGCACAAAACTTTATTCGCCAGTCAACTGAAACAATCTGAGGCCACAGAGCCGATATAATATAGTCCAAAACCTATACAGCCGGAAAAAAATCGGAAAATAAAAAATCAAAGCCGAAAAAAATTCAAAAAAATTAATGGCTTATAGAAAGTGATTAACACGCTCAAAACACACACGCCTACAAATATTTCTTTTTTGCAGGTCGTACGACTCAATATGAGGCCCCTAAGCCGTTATAATATAGGCCGAAACTATCAAGCCGAAACATGAAATTTTAACAAATCGAACTTGTTAAAGTAACTTATAACCAATTTAAAAAGCAAATTCCAAACAAGACAGATATTTCAAATGCTAACATGCACAAAACATATCTGGGAAGCAAAGCTGCTAAAAGAGACTTCCAGGTGTGAGTCCAAATGAGTACTGTGAACAAAGTTATTTACCAGAAAAAATTCTAGTACCCGATTTCAATAACCACCCTTGCTTAGGTAGCAAGGTTAACAATGTAATGTTAACAATGAAAAAAAAGACATCACTTAACACATCGCGAAAATATCTCTGACGAATACTCTACTATTTTCTGAAAAAAGAAACAGATGAGAATTCTTGTCACATTTCGCTACCACTTAGAGTTTTCCACTGGCAGGAGGTTTGACTTACGTTCCGTGTTGATATGATAACTTATTCTGAGCCGGTGTGATTTTAGCGAGCACTTGTTCGCTAACTTCGGTGAAGTTTCCCGCACATCTGCCATATTTGGCAAGTACAGCTGTGTTCCTAGCGACCAGAGAATAGAGGATCCCCTCTCTGACTGAAAGCGAGTCTGTCAGGGATCGGCGGGAGTCTTTGGATGTCGATTTTCTGCTTCCACTACCCGATGCCATCTAATTGACATATAATACAAATATTCTGAAAAACATTTAGATGTTAACTCAAAACTAACCTTAAGCTCTGGTATCAGATGAAAAAAATGTATGTATTTATCTAAAAGTCTTATCAATGCTTCAATCTTACAATCAAGTTATAAAACTCACATTTATGCATGGACAAATCTGTAACTATGATCAGGAATAAAACGATGCATTTAAAATACCAAGATTAAATTAGTTTTAGCGTTATGATGATCAAACGTTGAAAAAAAAGAGAAAATTAAAGATGTTCTTTAATTATAACCTTATTGTAAGCAATTATGACAAAAACTGGGCAGTCGAAATTTTAAAAACCACAAGTGATCACTTTGTGTTAAATGTGAAACTAATTTCGCAGTTGATGCTGTGGAAGAAAATCAAATTCCACGTAGAGCATCGAATATTTTAAGCAAAGATTTTTTATGTGAGAGGCTGGTTTTCGTTTACAACATGAAACAGAAATCAAGCAAAAACTGGGCCTTTAATAATTGCAACTCGACTTGAGATAAATTCACTGAGTTGTTGGATCGCGAAATTTCACGGATCGTTCCAAAAAAATTGGACACTAAACAACCATCGTAAAACTGGGTAAATAACCGAGTGAAAAATTCTGTGACAAAAGAAACAAACTCTACCGTGATTACTTGCGGCTTAAAAACCATGAATCTATAGATACACTTTGTAAGCAAAGAAATCGGACAAAAAATGTTATAATCAAAGCTAAGAGAGAAAATTATCGAAACAAACTCAACTGCAAATAAAAAACTAATGCCTGCAGCTCTGTAATGATCACTCGGAAATTACTGGTAAAGGTAAGAAATTCAATTTGCCTAGGGCTTCTACAGATGTATGCGACAAGCTTAATAGTTGCTTTGTAACAGTTGGGTCTCAATTAAATTTGAAAAATCAATCAAAAACGGAAATTAGCTCAAAACCGAAAACGTTTTTCTTTCTTCATTGAAAAAACTAGTGAAATTGAAGTATCAAACATTATAAGCTATTTTCCCATTAAAATTTGCACAGACGCTTATGATTTCATTGGTTGCTATGAAAAAAACTTAAATTTGCTACTGTACCAGCACTAACAAATATCCTCAATCATTGCATAATGCACTCAATTTTTCACGAAGTTTTCAAGTTGGCTAAAATAACTCCAATCCACAAAAATGGCCATCTCTCACGACCGGGAAATCGCATAACTAGTTATCTTTAAAACATCAACCTCCTTAGCCAAATCAAGTTGGTTTCAGACAAAAATCGGGAACTATCCCAAAACATTTGGGTGATCTGGGAAAACAAATCTTAAAATTTTGATGTGACTTTTTGGATTTAAAAAAGCGTTCGATACAGTTGAGCGTTCTATCTTATTCGAAAAACTACATAATTTTGGGAATTAGAGGGAGAGTGAATGACTTAATTAAACCCTATTTGAACAACATAAGTCAGTTTACTTTTATAGAGCCGTTTACTTTGGAAATTGAAAACATTGGGTTTGGAGTTTCCCAAGTCTCTATCCTTTGTCCCCAGCTCTTTATCATTTACATGAATGATATTGAAACGTATTGCAACCATCTTCATACTATTCATTAAAGAGGACGAACAGCTCTGATGAAAAAAGGGGACAATGACACGCTGAACGGCATGACGTTAACAATTGGTAGAATGAAAACAAGCTATTCCTTAACACTGACAAAACTAAACTAGTTATTTTCACAAAATCTGAAGAAAAAAATAAGAAAATAAGAAGGATTATTGAGAAAACGTTCGAAAATTTGCATAGTTAGGCATATACTTAGATCGCAAATTGAACTACTTTGTTCAGCACTTTTACCAACTTTTTTTTACCAATTGAGGAAAAAATTAAATTCAAAACAACTACTGAGAGCATGCAAAAATTGCATCCAACCAATAATTCAATATGGTGTTCTGCTTTATGCAACAGCTAGTAAGACTAAGTTGAATGAGTTAGAAAAAAACACGTCGTAGATTAGCTTGGGTAATGTGTCGTGGGAAAAATTTTCAGTCAATAAAAAACATTAGTAAAAATAAATTATATTCAAAACAGAACTTACATCAATATAAAATTTTGAAGCTTTCAAGCAAAATATTACATGGTGATAAAATAGGAACAGCAATAAAACCTTTCCTTAACAAAAAATCTGGATAAGCTCGCTAGTAGTCGGACTTGTTCACAAAGTTAAGGTCTAGGCAAAGCGCATTGACAATTGATCAATCTGTAAGTTTGCGGACTAGGTATATCCTTAAACAATTTGATTTCATTCTAAAATCTATTCGGATTTTATCAATAACCTTTCACAGAGCAGTTTGGACCATTTTCATGTTAACTTTCTCGACAATTATATTCTGGGTTGTTCGGATATTTTTCTGATGAAAATTGTAGTGTTGTTTTTTTTTCGAGGCATGGGCCATTCTTTTTTAGGAAAAAAAACTTCTAAAATTACCAAAAAAACTGATGTTTTAATTATAAGAAGTGAGATTTATTTTAAAACTGTTCTGCTTTCTGAGACATCCCTCGGCCGATTTCGTTTGAAGTCTTTAGGATGCTCTCTCAAACCTATATTAATCATAAATTACTGAACTTAATTTTGTGTATACAGTTGGTTTGAAAACAAGTTATTATATTATTATGATTATTATGCTCTAAACATGCTTTGCACTTACTTCGAACATGTTCTATTTTATCCAGGTTTTGATGACCAAATCATGTCTGATCAGGAAAAAATGACACCTGTCTCTTGGTAGCTTGGCAAATAGAAGCTAATATGGTACTTGTTTATGGGTTGGTTTGGTAAGAGTGATCAAATTGAAGAGCATTTTTGGAAGTTCCCATCAGCATTGACTGTTTGTTTGATTTACTTCTTGAATTTAAGAATTAATTAATTAACTATTAAGGACTGCAGACATCTGACCTATTTGATGATCTGCCGGATCATAGACATTGGCACTTGGGATTATTAGTACAAAAAATGATCAATGAGTCTCTCAAGAATTTTATTTGCAGAGCATATATGAAATGATGTACACTAGCGATATAGCCATAAATGATGTCGACAGTTTAATGTCTCGAACTGGTTTAGGCATTCTATAGTTGATTTTTTTTCTCATATTTGTAGATTTGTTTTTCAAACAGCGAAGAATTTTTAAAAAATAATAAACGCAAGGCTAGGGTTCCAAGATGTTTGAAGTGGACATTGCATATGCCCTCCAGATCGACTGCTCGAGACAGAATGGCCATTTTGCATCTAGTTGTACAAACAATTTGTCTTAAAATTGATTCCTTTCACTAGTGGACTGCAAACGTCATAGCGAAATCTACAAAAACTGCCACGTTTTTGTTTTGAAAGACCTTCAATTTGAGAAAAAGACCTCGCGAATTTTAATCGCTAGTTTTAACTGAGTACTAGTATGTAACGCACCTCCGGAGCTTCGAATTTTTAACAACTCATAAAAAAACTGCATACATTGGAAATAAGATCTATCCTTATAGTGTACTCTGGCAGCACCCAATTACCGAGTTGGTAAATTCAAGTTTTTAAAATTTTATTAATCTAGTCTTTTTAATTCAAATTTTGAGAAACTATAAAATTTTGTAAGTTTCTTACTTCTAAGTTCTCTGAAAAATTTTTAAATAAATTAAGAAACGTCACCTCTCGGAAACTGAGAGCAATTGAGCAGTCGCTTTTGGACGCAAAGTTTGCAACTCCTGAGAGTACTCTTACAGTACCCAACTACAGCGTTGAGAATTTCAAATTTTGAGAACCTTGAAACTTACGTTTACTATAAAACCTAAAAAACCTACTGTATGAGAGTACTCTTACAGTACCCAACTACAGCGTTGAGAATTTCAAATTTTGAGAAACTTGAAACTTACGTTTACTATAAAAAACCAAAAAAAATGCCACAACTCGAAACCTACCAAGCTTTGAGCAATTATATTTGGAGGAAAGATTAGCAACCCCTGAGAACACTCAGACAGCTTCCAAAAATGCCATATCTCGATACTACAAGGTTTTGAGCAGTCATATTCAGAGGCAAGATCTTGAGTACCTAACTACAGGATTGAGATCTTCAAAGTTTTTGATTTTTTTTAAACCTTAAGTTTTTTGAAAATTTTCGAAAAAAATTATAACACAGCCGAAGCTGAGCTTTGAACCACTTTCGATACAAATAAGAATGACTATGATTATAATAAAACAAAAAATGAAAAAAAAAACTTCGAACATTGTTTTTGTGAATAAAAATTGCAACAAAAGTCTAAAATATTCGTCCAAAATTGCCTGCACCATCAAAAACTCTAAAAGAGCTTTGGAAATGTTATAAAGACGACAAATTTTCAAAAAAGTCCTTTCTGCGGAACTAAGCAGACAAAAAAAGCGAACAGACAATAATCTAAATTAGCCAAAATTTTCAATTTGTAAAAAAAGAAACAGTCTCAACTCAAATCGAACTCCGGATTTTGCCGTCTCAAGCATGTGCATTAGAGCAACTTGAAATGAAGCTGAATCATCGAGCTACGGGAACCAAGCCGACAAAAACACGGACGATAATCAGAAAAAGCACAAAAACCCTAGCTTGCGAATAAAAGTGTCCGACCAGATTCGAACCGCAAGCCTTCGCCGTCTCAAGCTGTTGTTTTTACCTCTACGCCAGATGGTTGATTGTATTTTAATTACCAGGCAGCAACAAAGCCGAAAATACCTGAGCAGAAACCTTTCATGTCGAAAAAAAAACCCGAAAAAATCTAAATTTTTGACAATGTTACGTCCCTTTCCCCTCAGAGCACCCACACGCATACAAAAACTTTTTTTTGGACGTAACGACGCAATAAGAGACCACTAAGTCAATATTAATTAGACCGAAATTTATTAGCCGATAAAAAGACGAAAAAAAAAGAAAAAAGTGAAATTTTAAAAAATCGAGCTGGTGAAATTACAAACGATGTGAGAAGCAAACTTCGATTTGGCCATTTTTTTGAAACGCTAAAAACAACTGCAGTCTAAATTGTTAACAGCTAAAATATTATTAGATGTGGGAACTCAGCCGACAAAACATGAGCAGACAAATAAAAGCCGAAACGTTTTTGAACCGGAATATTTACCTTTTAAAAAAACTGGTCCTGGTCAGATTCAAACCCCAGGACCTTTGCGGTCCCAGGCGTATTCGTTGCCACCAAACTAAGTGTGCAAAAGACACTAAAAATTTGAATTCATTATGATTCACGGTACATAAGGAGTAAAATGAGTCCTGTGGACAAGGATGTTTACGGAAAAAAAGTTTAGTACCTGATTGTAATACCCTTGCTTATCGCAAGTGTAAAAAACGCCATATCTCGCAAACTACAAAGATTTTAGAAGAGAGTTTTGAAGGCAACCCTTGCAATCCCTTAGAGTGCCCCAGGAGAACTCAACTACAGGGTTGAGAATTTCAAACTTTGTGAATTCTTTCAAATTTAAATATCTAGAAATTTTTGAACAATCTCGCAAATCGTCATATCTTGTAAATAATGTAAATAAAAGGAATTGATTATTCATTATTGGAGTCTAAAATTGCAACACCCAGGGAATCCCTGACAGCATTCCACTATTGGGTTGCTAATTTCAAACTAGGTGAAACACTGAATTCAAACAAGACAACCAAAATAATTTTAACCATTGCATACGATATAGCGATATAGCTTAAACGTAAAAAAACTCTTTTGTTAAACATTCAAAAATAATACGTTGAAAAAGCTTAAACCTGGAGAGATAGTGAAGGCCGTATTTCAATATATAATCGACTTAGAAGCAATTTTCGCGCCACAACTAAGCCAGCACCCGAGGGTAAACGCCCGTTCAGGCGAATAAAAATGTCCTAAACTCTAATTTCTAGCGATTAAAGCTGAAAAAATTCAACTAAGTCAGAGTTGCTTAATTTCAAAATACCCAACAGGCAGTTGGAAAGACTCAACAAACGCAAGGAAACAGAAAAAATACAGAATTGATTTTTTGTTGATAAAAACATCAATTTTCGATTTTCAAAACTAAAAAAAGATGGCCTTAAAATTCTTTGAATTGTAAAAAAAAATTATTATGGGCTCTTTTTTTGATAAATTTAAACCAAATTGAGAAAAGAGAACTATATGGTAAAGTTTTTATTCCGCTGGGAAATCTGAAAATTAAATTCCATTATCGAAACTAGAAATCGATCACGTTTTTCGTGACCTTTACTTTTTTGCTGTTCGATAAAGGAGGTTGCCTAGCTTTTAAAAAATGAGACTGTTCTAAGACTGTTCCTATAAAATCACGACCTATAAAAGAGTGGACTCTCAAAAATTACAAATGAATAACCGAAAACAATTAACACCGTAAAAAATTAACAGCACGAAAGTAATTGGTGAGATTGCAACTAAGCCAACAAAATATAAGCAGACAAACGATAGGCCGACAACTTTTTTGAAACCAAAAATTTTCAATATGAAAAAACAGATACTGATCGGGTTCGAAACTAGTCCTTTAAACATCGCATTAGTCGTTACCTCAGGGGCAAAACCGCAGGAGAATCTATGAAAATTGAATTTATTATCAATCAAGCTATCAAATGATTTTGTTAAACTAGTAGTTAACCTTAAAAGTTCCAATTTGTTTGCTTTCAGATCCAGACTATTTTATCATAAGCGTAAAAATTTCAGCCTATCAATTAAAAAACTTTTACTAAAATTCGAACAGAGCTTTCATAAGACAGGGACTAACAAGACGAAAAACAATTTCCAAAAAAACTTGAGGAAAAAATAAACATGTTTCATGCTTTTTTTTCTAGTTTTTTTAAGAGAGTCGAAGAGTTTAATTCAAGATTTTCAAATTAGATTGCCGAACACGGCAAAAATTAGCGAGATCCTTCGTTCGGTATTCGAAACGGATTTTGTCGAACAAATCAGGGACGATAGCTCGCGGCAAAATGTGAAATATCAATTAGCCAGATTGGTATTTCATAATAAATATTTTTCGTTTGCTATTCTTATAAGCTATCACACACAAAAACGAATTCGAATCACACAAAAAATCTTTGTTTATCCGTCTTAAAAAAGTTAATTAAAAAAAAACTTTTTAAGATAAAACTTAAAATAGTTAATTAAAAAAAAACTTTTTGCTAGATGCTGAGATATTTCAAAAGTTTTTTCAGATATTTAGTGCCGCGACGACTTGATGAGCCCATGGCTTCACCGTGCCGGTGATTCTTTTACCCATTTTTAGCCACCTTGTACACTGATTGTAACCAACAGTTCATTTCATCTTTTAGACTTAGAATCAATTCAACATTATAAAGGTAATCAAAACTTTAATTTTATCATTTTTCAAATTACCACTTCCTGAACAAGAACTAATAGTACTGAGCTAATTAATCGTAACCGCCTTTATTACAACACGACAGAAACCTTGAGCAACACGAACATCACGACAGAAACCTTGCCTTCAAAAAAAACTATTACTTGCTTTTGTTTCCACAAATCAATTGCTGAAAAACAATGGACTGATTTTAAAAAAATAATAAGATGCTGAGATATTTCAAAAGTTTTTTCAGATATTTAGTGCCGCGACGACTTGATGAGCCCATGGCTTCACCGTGCCGGTGATTCTTTTACCCATTTTTAGCCACCTTGTACACTGATTGTAACCAACAGTTCATTTCATCTTTTAGACTTAGAATCAATTCAACATTATAAAGGTAATCAAAACTTTAGTTTTATCATTTTTCAAATGACCACTTCCTGAACAAGAACTAATAGTACTGAGCTAATTAATCGTAACCGCCTTTATTACAACACGACAGAAACCTTGAGCAACACGAAACACGAACATCACGACAGAAACCTTGCCTTAAAAAAAAACTATTACTTGCTTTTGTTTCCACAAATCAATTGCTGAAAAACAATGGACTGATTTTAAAAAAATAATAACTGAATCCAGGAAATAGAATAGGAACTGTAGCACTATTGTAACAAAAATGATATGAACTAAAAAGGACCGTTGACAACGCTATTAGAACACTTTTAATAAAAACAAACGAATCATATATGCCAAGGTAAACACATTTCCTGCTTCATGATAGAAAAAAACCAACAAATACAGAAAAATAAACACAGCAAATTGGCCAGAACAAAACTAGCGCAGCAAAAATCTAATTAAAGAAAAAACAGCACCGAAAACGGAAAAACAAAATTCTTAACTTGCACTCTTTAGTTTTTTATTTAAGTTAACAATTAGCAGAAACTTCTGGGAAATATCTGAGAAACTATTAGGCGAAGGATATTGAACTAGGTAAATACTACATATTTCAATTTTGATGAGTACGGAAAAAACTCATTCGAAGAGAAATATTCAAGTTTAATCACGGCGATTTTGCATGATTTATTAATAGCAAAACCTAATGCTGAGCTAGAGCACTCTGAAAAACTTTGAATTCACATTTCGTTTGACTTCCTTTTCAAGACAGCAAATCAGCAGGCCTTATTTTATCGACCACTTCTCACCAGTACATCAATATCCTCTATAGCTAACGTGTGAGTAAAAACTCGTTTATTTGACCGTTTTAAGACACTAACCACTGTCAAAGCATTGAGAAACAGATTTATCGACAATATAAGTGCTAATAAACCAGATCTCTACATGAAGCCCTATATGACCCCTAAAAAATTCAAACTGCAGTTGTCTTTATGAATTCAGAGATACACTAGTGGATGAAGTTAAGCGCAAGTGCAGGTTTCTTCTGTCTAAAATGGCTGTGTTCAATGCACATTTTGGACATTTCCCTCGAAATTCAAAAAATATATATTGACCAGAGCAAATAATGAGAGCTAAAATCTATGAAAGTATCAATATTTGCTTTCAATGACTTGCCTATGTAAACCGGGTATAATGCCAGTTTTCCATTTCTGCACTAGAATTTTTACTTCGCGTGAATAAGTAACAAACGTCTTAGTTTAGTAAAGTTTCCACACTGATTGTTTCCATGTTCTCGCTGAGAATGAATCATGTCGCATGAACAAACTTTTTACTCCGCTTATTCAAGAAAGATTTCAGTACTACGATGCTAACTTATTGCGGATGAAGATGTCTGGCATTTTCAAACCCGGATTAATTTGGTAAGTCATTGAAACCAAATATTGATAGTTTCATAGATGGTAGCTATGATCATTTCTGCATCTCTTGATGAATATATACATCTTTTGAAATTCGAAGGAAATTTTGTCCAATACGTGCCTTGAAAACAGAAATTTTCAGAGTAAAATCCTGAATTTGCGCTTAGTTTTGTTCACAAGTGTAGCAAGTGAAATCAAGCTTTTCAAAAACCACTAATGTTCACAACACAGATCTGTGGACAGCCAAACTTAAACCCCTTGGTATTTTCATTACAAGGCACAATTCAAGACCAATGAATAACAGAAATCAGAATTATTTTAATGACTACACTAGTGGACAAAATTAGGCGCGAATTCAGGTTTTTAATCACTAAAATGCCTGGTTTCCAATGTCCTCTTTCGACACCATTTACTTCGAAATTCAGAAAAATTTTCATATAGAGCAGAGCAAATGATCAGAGCTACCCTCTATGAAATTATCAAAATATGGTTTCAAAGACTCACCAATGTAATTTTTTATTTTTTACACTAGTGGGCATAATTAGGCGTGAATTCAAGTTTTTACTCTGTAAAATGCCTCTTTTTAATGTCCATTTTGGACAAAATTTCTTTCGCAATTCATAAATTTTTTACATAGACCAAGAGAAAACGATCAGAGGTACCATCTGTGAAACTATCAATGTTTGGTTTCAGAGATTTACCAATGTAACCCGGGTCTGAAAATTCCAGATTTCCTCATCTGCACTAAGTTTTTCAATCAAAAGTGAGAAACAGTCAAGTTTAGTAAACTTTTCACACTTAATATTTCAATTTTCTCACTGAGCATGTACAACTTGTTTACTCTGCTCATTCGAGAAAGAGTTCACTAAGATGAAAAACTTGAGGAAACTTCAGCAGATGAGGAAATCTGGCAGTTTCAGACCCGGGTTACATTCGTAAATCTCTGAAACCAAACATTGATAGTTTCATAGATGGTACCTCTGATCGTTTTCTCTTGGTCTATGTAGAAAAATTTTTGAATTGCGAAAGAAATTTTGTCCAAAATGTACATTAAAAAGAGGCATTTTACAGAGTAAAAACTTGAATTCGCGCCTAATTATGCCCACTAGTGTAAAAAAAAGCCCCAATTTTAATTTAACGAAGTCCCTTTAGTTCACTAAAAAGGTAGCTAAAACCAACTATTCAATTGAAAAAAATGGGTAACTAAAACTCGCATTTTAACGAAAACATTTAAGAAGATTTGTTGCAGTAAGAGAACACAAACATCCTCAATGAATTTTCTGTTAACAAATATCGCGGGTCTGGTAGAGCAACGGCCTTCAACAGTGCAAAAGGTGACTTTTTGGCACTGTTAACAAAAAAAACAATATTGTTGGCAGTGTTGCACTTCAGTACTTTTGTACAGCCTCGACAAAACATCCGAGTATTTTGAGAAGAATTTTCAACGTCAGATTTTTCATGTTGTGATTTTTTTGCCAACAAACAGGCATTTTTGTAGCAATATAAGTTCGAAACTCAGTTGCATTAAGCGTATCCGACTCAAAGTTTTAAATTACTTGAACAGAGGCGAAGCGGAGCCTAGCACCACTTGCAATACAACAAAAAACAATAGAAGTACAAAAACAAAACATTGAAAAAACTAGGTCTAGTAAAAAAATTTCGTATGTCTCGATAAAAATTCAATCTAGGCAAACAAGTCCAGCAAAACATTTGAATTTCAAATTAGCAACGTAACAAAAATGACGAAGCGTAAACAAAGCCGACAATTTTTGAGCAGACACTAGTTGAGCCAAAAAATTGATTTTGTAAAAAATTTTCAAGTGCCCTAGAAACACAATGAACAAAATTTGCAAATATAATGAACATAGCCAACTGCCAGTTGGAAAAGAGAAATGAACGCAAAAAAAAAACAAGAAAAAACTGACTTCTTTTTTTGAAGAAAATCTCATTTTTCGCTTTAGTGAAAAAAACATAGCCTTAAACCGCTTTGAATTTCTAGAAAAATTTATAATTGACAACTTTTTCATGCAATTAACCAATTTGAGAAAACTGGATCAACAAGTTAAGATCTAACTTCGCTGGGAAATCTTATAATTAAATTCCACGTTCGAAACTAGATGTCGATCACGTTTTTTGCGATCTTTACACTTTTGCTGTTCAATAGTGGAGTTTGCCTTCCCTTTAACAACGAAAATGCACTGATCTTAAAAAAAATCACAGGTCGAACCTCGAAATACCGAAATTAAACTTGAACAAATTTGAAGACTTTTTCCTAAAATCAATATTGACCGAGTACAAAAAAGCAGATGCATGAAATTTGTCTACTTTTTTCTAATTGGTCAATACTGAAACTAATGACTTGTTTTTTTCGCTTTCTTTGAGATTTTAGCGATTTCTTTGAGAATTTGAATACTCAATTCTAATTGCCTGCTTTTAACTGAAAACAAGTTCCAACATCCGGTCCGTCCATCATGAGGAAAATGGCTTTTTTTAGTTTATTAACAATTACCCAGAAACTCATCAGTGCTTTGGGAGAGCTCGGAACATCAATTCAGTCAGCCTTACAGAAGGTCAAAAAAATCCGCCTCGCCTCCCCCTCGTGAAAATCCTAGATCCGCCCCAGCTGAAACTACCAAATTAAAAGACAGGACACTTTTAGGAAGGGTAAGACTTTCAAAAAATTGTATAAGAGAATATATTTTTGATTGATAGCCAAAAAAGGTCATTTTTACTTTATAAAATTCAAAAGCTTTGCTTTATAACAAATTTCAAACCTTTTGCACAAACTTTTAGAGATTTCACCTTTTATGAAATTTGTTGGGCTGTTTAAGAGGCTTCTTTTGATAGAATTTCCTCATCAATTAGTTTGATATTTTCAGCGTAATTCTGGATTAATTAAAAAAGTCAAAATGACCCACTTTGGGGTAAAATTCTAAGCAACTTTTGTTCTCTTGACTTTTTGTCTAATCCTAACTATATTTGAGATAAACGCGTTTAATTTTCTAATGTTGTTCGTTCCTCAGACGTAACAAAAGGAGAGATCTTTGTTTGGGATAGACATCACTCCCAATGCTCAAACATAGTAAGCACATCGAGCAATTTGGTGTTTAACTTCAGAAATAACTTAATGGTATCAGTATCATCTATTGTATATCGGAAGCATTGGCAGATTTAACAGATTCAACAAAACCGCACTAAGTCTAGGTTCATTTTCTTTCCTAGTTTAACTGACAATTCAAAGACAAACAATTCGCTCAGCTTCCAAACAATCGACTGTTAGGTTGCTTCCCGAATTCGAGAGGGATTCAAACTTTTCGATTTCCTTCTTTATACCATTTGCGTCACGAGTTTCTCCCCTTAGTGCCATAATCAATGAGGCGAATGAAATAAACGAATTTGCTTCAAAACTTATCTGTAATCATAATAAGACATTTTGAACTTAAACCCTAAATCTCATAAATCGAAACTGTATCGAAATAGGTAACTGTATTAAGATGCTATTCGGATAATCTGTTCTAGTGGCACAATTCACTCAAACTTTACACCGAAAACCATCTCGGATCTTCATTAAGTTTTAAAGGCAGTGATCGGAGATACACAAAAATGGACAATTCTGAAACACATGTAGCTATTGAAGAGAGATCTTTAGCTCACTATCTTACAACAAAGACATATTACGAAGCTAAAACTGGTACAAAAAACATCCCGACAATTCAAACTGATTCTTTGAAACCATCCAATATCATTGGATCTCGAATCAACGAAAACGGAAAAGACCTAATCATTTTCTCCTATCCACTATGTGGCCGGAAAAACTATAGAAAACGGCATGAAACACTTCTTACATTTTACGAAGTTTCGGAAGCTCAAAATACCAAAAGCATCATTTCGAATATCATCGGTTTTCAAATGCGCAAAGTTCTGATTGTGCTTAACCCTTATGGCGGTGCAAAGAAGGCTTTACAATACCTTGATAATGTGGTCAAGCCGATGTTCAGCGAAGCCGAAATCAGCTTTGATGTCTTACATACTAGATATACAAGCCACGCAATTGAGATCGGTCGAGATTTTGATAAAACGAAATATACCGATCTATGCTGTTTGTCGGGAGATGGTACTATGCATGAGATAATCAATGGTATTAGTCAGCAAAGTGATGGTACTAAAATTGAAGATATATGCATTGGGATTCTCAACGGCGGAACTGCCAATTGCCTCGTTGCCGCGCTTTTAGAGCGTCGCGGAGAGCGCGGATGCAGCTTCAAAAAAGTAATTTGGAACGCAACTTTCGCTTTCATCAGAGGTGCTCCTAAATTGGTTGACCTTCTGCGGGTTAATTATTTGGACAAAAACCTGTATTTATGTCAATCACTATCTTGGGGCCTTATTTGTGACGTCGAGTTTGAGAGTGAGTGGCTTCGCACGTTTGGAAGCTCTCGCTATTCTGTTTATGCTATCAAACATATTATTTTGAACAAGGGTCATAAAGGAAGCATTCACTACATTCCTGAAGATATCAGCAATACATCAGAAGCCTTTCAGAAATATTTGGAGAGAAGTCCGAAGGAACAAGCATACCATCAAAAAGGTAATTAAACTTATTCGCATATAAGTATTTTAAAAAATTTATCATGAAGTGGATTATGTGCATTATTCGAATGGTCGAAAATATTGATGTCAACACATTTGTACGACATGTTTTTAGAGTCCTCAGAGTGGAAAAAATTCCCTGGAAACAAATTCTCATTCGTGGCCTTGATGGTCAACGGCTTCTGGTCTTTAGACAATGTCGCTAACCCTTTCTCGCATTTGGACGACGGAAACGCCTACCTGATGCTGGTCCCTAAACCAGTTACCAGGTTAACTCTTCTAAGATTCTTTCTTCAACTCGAAAGTGGAAAGCATGTGTACTTCTCTCAGATCGAGTACGTCTGTGTGAAGAGAGTCAAGTTTCAATTCCAAAACGAACGAGCGTGTAACTTGGACGGAGAAATGTCAACAAGTGCTATTATGGAGGGAGAAATCAAACCGCAAGCAGTCAAAATGATATATTAAAATTCTTAGACGTAAAAAAGCTATACGGCCAACAAATTGTGTTTAACAAAAACCAAAACTCTATCCAGCTGATATAAAGCCTTCACTATACCTTTATATTTCCTTGCCTTGAAATAAATTTTGTGTCTTCTTTTCTCATAATCATTGCAGCAAAATTTGGAGCTTGCGGTTTCTTATGTTTTTTAAAATTAACCTGTATTTTAGTGATTTAGAGATCTACTGATCTCAAATGATACTTTGAGAATTCATAAAGCGATACCACCAGGATGCGAATCAGAATCAATCGTGTAAATATTAGCGTTTTATATTTCAACTGAAGTGGGTCGAAAACATACCAAACACGAGTTCGACTAAAAATCCCTGTTCGAGCAAGCTCTATAGTCGCGCTCAAAGTCGAAACAAAATTGAGTCGGTCAAACAATAAAACACAAAATAAGTTCGAGCCGGTTGATACATGTAACTTGAGCAACAAACGAAAAACCGACAATTAATTATTACCAGCAAACAATTTCAATTTCATACATACTGAAAAAACAAGGTCCGGCCGGGACTCTAACCCTAGATCTAAATTTGCACAGGCAACCAATCTACCTCTAGGCTAAGTGGGAGCGATCCTGGAAGTTGTTAAGGTTATTTAATACAGCAAGAAAGAAAAGGCAGCAAGATTTGTAAGAAAATTTATTTTACGGTTAAAAAAGTCTACTTCCCGGTAAATTTAAAATTAGTAATTAGTTTCTATCGAAGATTGAACTGACTTTCACATGAAGCGCTTGTATTGGAAAGCCCTGTACATAGCAAACAGACAGTGGAAAAAGAGTCAAGGAACGCAAGTAAACAGAAAAAACACTGACTTACTTTTGAAAAAACGTCATCTTTTGTATATCTTTCGAAGTAGATAATATATTCTTTCACTAGGTTAACAAATCTTCCCACTCACATAATGTTTTTCTTCTTGAATCTTTTTGAAATTCAAAAACAATTTAAGACCAGCATTTTTTTTAGAAAGCTAACCCAATTTGAGAAAACTGGCTCATTGAGTAAAGTTTTAATTCCGCTGGGAAATCTGATAATTAAATTCCATGTTCAAAATTAGAAGTTGATCCCGTCACAGAGTGGAAAAAATTCCCTGGAAACAAATTCTCATTCGTGGCCTTGATGGTCAACGGCTTGATGGTCAACGGCCTTGATGGTCAAAAAAAATCAAAAGGCAAACCGCGAAAAAGTAAATTTGAGCCTGAACAAATTTTAGGACTTTTTCCTGGAAAAAAAACCAAAAACAAATCATCGCGAACTATATAATAGTCTGAATTACTTTCACCGAATTAGACAAACTGGCAAGGTCTCGGATTCGAATGCTTGATCCTTCGCGACATTACCCGCTCCTTGACCACCACACTACTCGACCCATATTTTCACGAAAATTACATTCATTAAAAAGAAACCTATCAAATGATTCAAACCACAAAACACAAAATAAGTTCGAGCCCTTTGATACATGTAACTTAACCCATAATCGAATTTAAGTCGAACACAAATACAAACATAAAACTCAAATCCGAAATCCAAAGTCGAATCTAGTTCAAAAAATAAAGTCAAACAGAATAAATATAGTTTTGCTACGAATTAAGTTTTTAGTCTGGTTTTTTGTTTTGAACCCTCAACATACGCAACACACCGTTTGAAAAGTATTAGTTAACTCAAGCAAATCGTAAAAACTACTGATTGAAGTGGTTTCGACATTTTTCTGAAGAAACGCACTCCTAATTACTTAAAATTAGTAGAACCTCACTTGAACAAGTCCTTTTGAATTTCTATTTAGGACAAATGGCTTTGATGAGATACAGGTCTAGACAGAGGCGAAGCGTAGCTCCGCACCATTGGCAATGCATAGCAAAAAAATCAAAGTTGAAAATTTTTTAAAGAAAACAAGGCCAAAAGAAGGTTGGAAAAGTATAAAAGAACAAGGAAACCAAAAAAAAAAAAAGAGAAAAACTTGAACATTTTTCAACATTCGAATTAAAAAATATACACTTTCTTAAAATTCATGATTGAAAAATTTTGATAAAATTAACCCAATTCAAGGAAAGTAGATTATTGGGTATATTTACTTTTATTTCGCTGGAAAATCTAAAAAAAATAACCACTTTCGAAACTAGAAGCCATTCACAATTTTCGCTTTCGTAATTGGAGATCCCATTTTACCTAATTTTGCAAGAATTTGAACTCAACTTGTGCATTCATTAATCCATTTAAATGTATAAATGGATTCCTGTAGTTATTAGCACATTTTAGCAATTGTTCATGAAAAAAAATCATCAAGACCTATTTAAGAAGAAAATAACGTCGTTTTTTTACTGTTAAACAACATCAACCGCAATTTTCATAAGTTTGTCTCGAGTGAAGTTCAAATTGAGGAAACTCTACCGAGCAACACAATTTGCACTGTTTAACTTATAGTTAACAAAACTTATCAAGCAGCAACTAAGCAGACACATCCAATTAGCTCAAAAAAAATTTTGAGCTAATTAAAATTTATAGATTTCAATACTTACATCCACCTTACCCAGAAGCACAGGCGCATTTAAAAAATTCTAACTTCGAGGTACCATCACATTATGAGGCTAAACCGCTATAACATAAGCCGAAACCTTCTAAGGAGATAGAAAAAAAAGGAAATCATTCTTGGCAAAATTAATATATTACAGGAATAAACAAAATAATTTCAAAAACCGCTCAAATAAATAGAAAAAATATCCAGACTTTTTTTTAAAAAAAATCTATGTAACACACGGAATCCAGTAAACATTTTCGACCCAAGCATGGGCGATACCATAACATTAAAAGGACAGAAATCGACAATGGTTTTGAAATTATAAGCCCTTTAAACCTAACGAGCGAATTTTTGTAGGCAAACGTGTTTACGGGAAAAAAAGTACCCACTTAATAGCTTTGCCAATAATAACATTAATAATTTTCACCTCCTTTTTGCCCTGAGTGTTTCTTCATTTTTTGATAAGAACTAGTGAGGCCGAGAATTGGTGAAAAGCTTTGCATTCAGCATTGAAAATGTTACTGGACTAATTCGAGACCTAGGCAATATAAAACAAGGATAGCTGGTTACTGTGCAAGTAGCACAATCTTCCGACCAGTCCTTAAAACACTACAAGAAAAAAGTTCAGTCATAGTAAAATAAACAAACAGGACAATTGTTTTTGAAGAAAAATGAATTAGAAAAATCAAAAAAAATCATTCAAATATTTTTGTTCTTTTTTTTGCAGAATTTTTTTGATTTTTTGAAAATTTTGATTACCCAAATGACATTAAGAATCTCCAAAAACTCCAGAAAAATTAAAATTAAGCAAAAATAGGCTATTGTAAACGGCCTAAATTAAGCATTAATAAGCGAGCTTGCTTGCTTTACTCGCACGAATTTAGACGAAAAATGAAAATTTCAAACCCGTTTTTCTCGATACTGAGATTTTTTCGACATTTTTACTGTAGTTTGAATCACGACCGAAAGGGGTTTCATATGATATATCACTCAACTCTTTCCGATAATTAGTTGTGGTAGCTGATTATGCGTGGAAAACAAAAAAAAAGATAAAAAACTAAAACACGCGAATACGAAGTTCCTCTCCATTTTCAACGGTCGGAACAATTATTTTTCCACCACCGACGAAAATTAACGTATCGAATGAAAATTCAGTAATTAAGTCAAAAATTTTCAACATAAACAACTGGCTTCAACTTATGCAGTCTCGCTATAGTCTCTTTCGATATTTTCTAGTTTTAGCAGCGTTTTATATATGAAAAACGCCAAAGCGGTCAAAAGTAAATTAAGCTAAAAAAACCAAATCAATCGATTGCAGCGAATGCGACAACAGCGTCAGTCGGCATTTCCTGAATTATGCAACTAAAGCTATAATTCTATCGATGGTCACTTCTGAGGAGTTAAGGCACGGGCCATGAGGGCGCCAATGGCTTTGTTCATATCACCATTATTTCGTATTAATTCTTTGATTGCATCCGATTTATTGAAACCAAGCTCGACAATTTTGCCGAGATCTGCTTCTGAATATGTTTTACTGGAATTAGAATTTTGGCTTTTCCCCTTGGACGATGATGCTTCTATTGCGGATTGCTCCAGTGCGTTTTTAAGATCTGAATCATCGGCAGAAGTGGAGCCATTGGCTCCGTTCGCACTCAACTTGGCGTAATCAGGCAATTCTCCTTCTGATAAAAATGGAGTGGCAATATTTAATGCGCCGAATTTCAATTTATTGTCCTTCAAATCAATACAGCATTGATGACGCCTTAACATATCTAATCCCAGCAGAACATCCATAGTTTGGTCCTCAAGAATGCTAAAGGATGTAGGCAAATATGTTCCAGCAATTTCAATTTGCACCATATGGGCTCTGCCCAAAATTTTTTGAACTCCAACTCCCTTTGCAACTCCAGCCCAACGAGTGTCCAAAAGCTTCATAACATTGCATCGCTCAGCGCATGCTTTGCTCATTATTGTCATTTGTGCACCAGAATCAACGAATGCTTTGGTAGGAACTCCGTTCACTTTGCAGTCAATATATAGCATATGTACTGTTCCAAAGCTTTCTGGAGAAAACTCCATGGCGGTTTCCATGTTCTCATTGATGTTCGCCATCCTTATTTCTTCGTAAAGCATCTTTTGGGCTTCTGGGTCTAACGGGTTTGACAGAAGACGCAATTTGTTTTGCTCTCGTTCTTGCATTACCTTTCTCTGTTTCAGCAAGGCTTCTTTGAACAATGAAGGGTTGTTTATGTTTTTGGCTAGGTCAGGATTGCGCTCTCTGAGAATGGACAATTGGTGAGGGTCCGAAAGGAAAACTTGGCGTATTGTCTCCGGGTCTTCATTGTTCCTCGCTCTTTTTGATCCAGGGGCCGGCTCATTTGACGCACCCTGGTTTCCTCGGTTTTGCGCCTGAGAAGCCATCGATGCCAATGCAGACATCAGGTCTGCTTGTGCTCCAGCTTCCACAGTTTGAAAGCCAATGATATCGTTGTCTTTGATTTTGTAGGAAGCCAGAGTTGCTTTGTTGTCGCCCAGAGGTGCATTGTTGTGAAAAAACACTACATTGTCAGCTGGAATAGAAGACTCTGCACTAAAGACTGCTTTGAAATCCTCCAATGCCATCTGATCATCTATTTCCAACATAAATACATCATCCCCGGTCAACGAAGTTAGTGTTAAATGCATAGTTAATCTAAAATACAGTTCGTAAACCTCAGTGGTTTTAACTTCTTATTACAATATCGCTTTTTATAAACATGACGCAAGTATTCACGGTGCTAACCAAGAAAATGAAACTCATAACAGCCGAATCTAATCATAAATTTACGTAATCTTAACTAGCGTGTAACGCTCCTCCGGTGCTTCGAACTTGTAAGAACACTATAGAAAACCGAATAAACTGGAATTAAGATCTGCATCTTATGAGTGTACTCTGCCAGCACCCGATTAAAGGGTTGGTTATTACAGATTTGGTTTAAAAAAATTTATTCAAGTTTTTGTTAATTCAAACGTTGAAAAACCATAAAAATTTTAAATCTTAGTTCACTTTAAAATGACATAAAAAAACGTAACATCTCGAAACTTTGAAAATTAAGCAAGCGCAATTAGACGCAAGTTTTGCAATTCCTGAGAGTACTCTCACAGTACTCAGCTACAGCGTTGGGAATTTCAAATTTCGTGAAATGTCAAATTTAAGTTTTCTAAAAGTTTTTTTTGAAAAACCATAAAAAACGTCATTTCTCAAAAACTGCGAAAAATTCAGCAGTCAAATTGGGAGGCAAGATTCACAGCCCCTAAGATTACTCTAATAGCCCCCAACTTAAGAGTTGGGAATTTGAAATTAAAATTAAACGAGTTTCCTGAAAATTTTTCTTAAAAATCACAACATACGTCATATCTCAAAAATAACAAAAACTTGAGCAGTCATACTGCGAGGCGAAAATTGAACCTCCTGGGACTACCCTGACAGAGCCTCACTATTGAGATGTTAATTTCAAACTTAAAGACATTTTTTAAATCTAAGTACTTAGAACAACTTTAAAAAAAATATAACAAACGTCACACTCGGAACTAAGACCGTTTGAGCAGTTGCAATTTGACGCACGATTTTCAACTTGGAACTCTTGAGAGTAACCTCACAGTAGCCAACTAAAAGGTTGGGATTTCAAATCTGAAGTTTTTTAGGTTTTCTGGAAAAAAAATTGAAAAAAAAAAATCATAAAAAACGCCATATCTCGAAAACCAAAAGGATTTGAGCAGTCATACTCGGACGCCAGATTTTCAACCTTTGAATGTACTCTGAAAGCGCCCCATTATGGAGTTGATTGAGAAATTCAATTTGGGTTAGTTTTTCTATATCCAAGTTTTTTGAAATGAAAACAAAACTCATAAAATAAGTCATATCTCGAGAGCTACAAGGTTTTGAGCAGTCATATTTGGAGGCAAGAATCGCAATCCTTAAGAGTAATCTTACAGCACCCAACTGCAGGGTTGGAAATTTCAAATTTTGTGAATTACTTTGTTATTTGGGTTTTCTGAAAAATTTTGAATAAAAATCTTTTAAATCGTCGTATTCGTACACTAAAAGGATTTGTGCATTCATAATTGGAGGTCGATTTCGCAACCCCTGGCGGAACCCTGACAACATTCCACTTCGGTGCTTCGAATTTTTTGACAACTCATAAAAAACCATATATGAAGGAAACCAGATCTGCAGGCTTTTAGTGTGCTCTGACAGCACCCAATTACGGGGTTGGTAATTTCAAAATTTATAAACTTTTTTAAATTCCAATTTTCCGTCAAATCCCAGAAACGTCAAATATCGAGAACTACAAATATTCGAGTAGTCATATTTGGAGGCAAGATTTGCAACCCCTGAGAAAACCCTGACAGCACCCTGATTTGAATTTGAGAGTGTTTGAATTTGACACCCAATAAATTGAATTTGAAATTTTTTGGTTATTTGAATTTGAAATTTGAGTAAAAAACAGTATTTGAATTTGATGTTTGAGCATTTGAAATTTCACGAAAACTATTTGAATTTGAAAAAAAAACATCAAGTAGCAAAAACGAATTTAAGCTCTCAGCTTAAATTTTTTCGAGCGTTTTTTTTCTGATTTCGATAGAACTTATCTGACCAACTAAAAATTCAATTTTGATACTTTTTCGAGCACTTTTTCCCTTGAATTGAAAAATTGAACTCATCGAATCAATCAATCAGCTACCAAGTTTCAACTACAACAACTGCCTTCTTCTTGAATACCAACTTAGGCATTTTCCAGCTTCTCATTTTTATATTCAAAAGGCTTCCAATCGGCATTCAGTTTTGGCATCACTCTTGAAAAAAGAGAATATAAAAGAACTACTTGGCGGCGGCGGGGCGACAATAGAAAAAAAACGACTTCATGCGGCCGACTCGACTTCCTGCGGCTGAAGTAATGACGAAGATGTTGAGTTGAGACAACTAACAATTCTTACATTGTAATGCTCATTTTCATTTCAAAACTAAAAATCAAATAGTCAAATATTTGAATTTGAAAAATCAATATTTGAATTTGAGGCAAATTATGAATTTGAATTTCAGTTTGACTATTTGAATTTGAATCTGACATTTGAATTTGAAATTTGACAACCCTTGACAGCACCCAACTACAGGGTCGAGAATTTCAAATTTTGAAGAAAAAAATTCAAGTTTTTTGAAAGCTTTTTTGAAAAAAAAATCACAAAGAAAGTCATATCTCGAAAACTAAAAGGAACTGAGCAGTCATAATTGGAGGCAAATTTCGGAAACCCTGAGAGAACTCTGATAACTTCCAACTACAGGGTTGAGAATGAAATTTTGAAAAAAAAATTCGTCCAAGTTTTCTGAAATTTTTTGAAAAAATCTTAAAAACGTCATATCTCGGAAACTACAAGGATTTGATCCGTCACATTGGGAGACAAGATTCGCAACCCTTGAGAGTATTCCTAAAGCACCCAACTACAGGGTTAGGAAATTCAAGTTTTGTAAATCATTTTGTAATTTGTTTTTTCTGAAAAATTAAAAAAAAAAATTACAAAAAGCGTCGTATCTCGTACACTACAAGGATTTGAGCATTTCTAATCGAAGGCCAAATTCGCAAAGTTTTGGGAAATCCTGACAGCGTCCCACTATTGGGCTGCTTATTTTAAACTCAATGGAATAACCACTGAACTCAAGCTGGAAAATCGAAAAAAAAATCTTAACCATTGCAATATACGATATAGCTTAGACGTGCAAGAATTCTTTCGTTGAACATGCAAAAAAAATACGTAAGTAAATCGTACATAAAATTATGTAGTTTCGAAAAAATCTACTACGGAGCCAATCATGTTAGCTAACTTGGGTGCCCGATACCAGACGTTCTGCTGAGATCTGCTTTGACGGGGTGTCTCAAGGTCGAACAGAGTTCTTGCTGATCTACGCGTAGATACATCATTTGCGAACGAAACATATTCATGCCAGTCAACTTCATAACGACCAGAGATAATAGAAGATAAGAACAACAAATCTTGCATTTCAAGATACAAAGAAGCTGGGAGTAACTTAAGTTTTAGAAAGCGTTCTTTTTAGTTGAGCTCTGAACCCACAATCCACCGGGTGGCGGTCTGCTGCACATGTTCCATGACCGTGCTATCACCCTTGTTTGCGTACCAAACTTGACGGCCGTAAGTCATAATAGGCATGATGTATCCACAGTAAATGATTAATTTCGCTGTGATTGACAGTCGTGGGGACGTATTGCTTTTAACGGCGAAGAGAGCACCAATTGCTTTGCCACACCTGGCCTCAATATGTAGGCTCTATTTGAGACGACTGTTGAGATTTCAGTTGAGTGTAGTGAAGCCACAAACTGCATTTTCATCAAAAACATCCGGATGAAACAAAAGAAATTTCGATTGCTTGGAATAACCACTAAACTGAAGCTGGAAAATCGAAAAAAAAATCTTAACCATTGCAATATACGATATAGCTTAGACGTGCAAGAATTTTTTCGTTGAACATGCAAAAAAAAATAAGTAAGAAAATCATACATAAAATTATATATATACAAAAATCTAAATGATAAATCAAACTCATAAGTTGAAAAATGTAGAAAATGTCAAGATATTAGGGTCTTCATCCTCAAATAAAACACAGAGGCGAAGCAGAGCACGACTTACAATACAAAAGTACATAACGAAATTCTACTGATAATCTACTTCTGATACAAAAACAAAAGCTAAATGATTTATGTTTAAGAAATCGTCGACTGAAAACTCGGCTGAGGAAAAATTTCACAATTCTTGTGGAATTAAATTACCAAAAGAAGATTCAAGCCAAAATTACTTCTTGCTGATAATTATTGGATGGAGAAGATACAAAAAGTGAGGTTTTGGCCCTGACATCATGATGCAAAATTCATCATTAAAATTCTCTTATAATCTTCGGGAACCAAGCAAATAATCCTAATGATAATAGTAATTTGAATGTGAGAGTAAACAACTCTAAGGGCCGAGGGCCCATCAGTTAACAAGTCCGAGTCTGTACTTGGTAGAGTTGGTGCATGATGTACACCAACAGAGTATCGTCCGCGTACAGCTGTTCCCATGTTCGTAGGATGATATGAAGTAATTCCAGTAAAAGTTTGTTAACCTCTGCTTCAAACCGGTACTTTCGAAAAAAATCTACTACGGAGCCAATCATGTTAGCTTACTTGGGTGCCCGACACCAGAAGTTCTGCTGAGATCTGCTTAGCCAGGGTGTCTCAACGTCGAACAGAGTTCTTGCTGATCTACGCGTAGATACATCATTTGCGAACGAAACATATTCATGCCAGTCAACTTCATAACGACCAGAGATAATAGAAGATAAGAACAACAAATCATGCATTTCAAGATACAAAGAAGCTGGGAGTAACTTAAGTTTTAGAAGGCGTTCTTTGTAGTTGAGCTCTGAACCCACAATCCACCGGGTGGCGGTCTGCTGCAAATGTTCCATGACCGTGCTATCACCCTTGTTTGCGTACCAAACTTGACGGCCGTAAGTCATAATAGGCATGATGTATACACAGTAAATGATTAATTTCGCTGTGATTGACAGTCGTGGGGACGTATTGCTTTTAACAGCGAAGAGAGCACCAATTGCTTTGCCACACCTGGCCTCAATATATAGGCTCCATTTAGTAGTAG